CCTCCTTGGTGCCAATTAACAGAAATGAAATGTCCCTGGCACACTTTGTAGTTCAGAAAATGCATGTACTGATTAAACCCCCGCTAGGCGTCCATTATGACCTATGGGCTCCAGGCAAGTGCTGCTCTCACTCCATCTCCATTTAAAGTCGCAGAATGTTTTCTTCCTGGGCAAAAACCAATGTCACTTCATTCATTTATTCATTTTTCATTCAACGATATCAACTGAGCATCTACTATGGGCTGTGTGCCAGGTGTTGTTCCGTACAGTTGGGATACAGCAGTGAACAACACGGATAAGGTTCCTACCTGCAGGAAGGGAGTAAATGGTAAACAAGCAGGAGAATTTCTACATGTCAGATGTTACGAAAGAAACAAAGTGACGGGACAAAGAATGGCTGACGGGCATTAGCTATATTACGTAGGGTGGCCAGGGAAGGTTCTCCAAAGGGATGACATTCGAGTTGAGACCTGAAGACTAAGAAGGAACCAGACACGCAGCATAGTGGGAAGAGCAGGAACAAGCTCAACCTGTCCAGGAAACTCTCCATGGGGAAGGTTCCATTAACATTCTTTTTTTTTTTTTTTTTTTTGAGACGGAGTCTCGCTCTGTCACCCAGGCTGGAGTGCAGTGACGTGCTCTCGGCTCACTGCAAGCTCCGCCTCCCAGGTTCACACCATTCTCCTGCCTCATCCTCCCGAGTAGCTGGGACTACAGGCACCCGCCACCACGCCTGGCTAATTTTTTGTGTTTTTAGTAGAGACGGGGTTGCACCGCCACTAGCAGTCTTTCATTTATCAAACATTTTTGATCATACAATGAACAATTGGAGAATAAATGAATTCCCTTTTATCCTGACAAGAAGGCCTGTCATAGGAAGGATGAACATAGGGAAGATGCTACTGGAGTTATTACAAACGGAGAGGCAAATGACCGCCCTTTTCTCCACCCCATTCCCAATCTCTAAAACAAGGGACTTGGCTTAGGCACTAGCATTCAGGACTGTGAGATCTTAAGAACTCACCTTTTAGAGGAATTGGCCCTCGTAGCTCTTTAAAGCAGTAACTATGCAGCAAACAAAAAGCAAACTGACATCTTTAAAAAAAAAAAAAAAAAAAAAAAAAACAGCCAAAATGGTTGTTTGAAATTGTATACATGAGACATAAAATATCATTTCCTTTGTTATCATTAGGGTGTAGTTATTGAATTTCTGCACCCATTTACTCATTCAGAAAATACTTATTACTAGTTGTGAGTCTCTTCTCTTCCTCCCTTTAGCCCTCTGCCCTCTCTCTCTCTTTCTCTCTCTCTCTCTCTGTTTCTCTCTGCCCCTCACTCCCCCAAACTTTCTTTGGCACAGGATTTCAGAGCCCAGGATATAGATTTGGAACACCTGAGTCGTACCTAAAGTGTGACTTGCTGTGTGACTTTAGGCAAGTCACTTCACCTATCTGAGTCTCAGTTTTCTCATCTATATAAAGGGAATAATAATAGAAGACATCACACAACACCATACAAAATAAACACTAAGGTATTATTATCTTTGTTACTGTCCATTATTATCCTTTGATAGATAGGAATGTAAAATTTACAGAACTCAACTTAGGAAACTGGGACAGGTTTTTAGGACAGAAGAAATTCTAGTAACAAGTGTGACAGCCACTGTTTAATGACCTGTTTCTACCTGTAGGATTTTCTGTTCTTTGAGATAATTATGAAGCAGGACCACAAGAAATAGCCTTCAGGAGGTATTTTAGTCCATAATAATAATTTTGAGCCAACAATTATAGAGTCCCTGCTATGTGTCAGACCCTGTTCCATGTGCTTTACTGATATCAAACATCGACTTATTTAAAACTCCCACAAACAGACAAAATAAATACTATTACTACTCCCATGTTACTGGTAGAAACTAAGGCCTAGAGAGATTAAGAAACTTCCATAGGGTCACAAGGCTAGGAATTGTGGGGTTTGGAAATAAACCCAGGCAATCTGGCTCCAGTCTGTGGCTGCTAACTGCTTTCCACCTCAGTTAAGGTAGAGCGAAAGGCCAGACACAGTGGTTCATGCCTATAATACTAGCACTTTGGGAGGCCAAGGCAGGTGGATCACCTGAAGTCAGGAGTTCGAGACCAGCCTGGTCAACATGGCGAAACCCCATCTCTACTAAAAATACAAAAATTAGCTGGGCGTGGTGGTGGGCACCTGTAATCCCAGCTACCCAGGAGGCAGAGGTTGCAGTGAACCAAGATCGTGCCACTGTACTCCAGCCTGGGGCACAAGGGTGAAATTCCATCTAAAAAAGATTGGATGAAAAAGTTATCTCCAGACATCAGGGGGGTTTGGTGATGTTTTTGTTTTTGTTTTTTACTTCAAATAGACTTGTCTTCTGAGTACTCAGTAAACAAAGAATTATTACCTGCCTAATCCCAAACCCTCTGGCTTGTAGACACAGTGCTAATAAGGGCTGCTACTTCATACCGCACAATGCCAGCCTAGGAAAAGTCACACCTCCTCCCATTGATGGGATTTTTTGGGTGCCTATTAAAATGTCACTTGATCTTGGAGTTGAAGTTCTTTCTACATCATTTAGCACAACCTGGAAGGTCAGATTAATGTGGCATCCAGCTTTCCCTTGGCAGTAACTTCCTTATTACTTCCCTGCCCCTGCACTTGTTCTCAGAAATGTTACATCACAATAAAGGTAGTTAAAAAGAGCAAACAAACCACTGCTACTCGCTTGGAATGCAGAAGCTGTAATCTGGAAGGGACATTCTCACAGCTGCCGACACCAAGACTGATAATACAGATCAAAGCCGCCATCTTTGAGCCCATTGTGATATTAACAGGGTGAACCTTCTCCATAGGAGGACACCCAGTATCAGCACTGGCACCAACCTAGGCACAGGGAGGAGAGGCAGGATATGTCTAAGGCAGACTGCCTTCCTTTTGAGGGCTAAAATTGGTGATAACCAAATGAAACCCCCGCCCATGTTCAGTGGTGTGTAGTGAAGACAACATAACTCCAAATCCTGTGTAATTTATTGACATGGTGAGACACAGAATGCATCCTCGTAATCACAGAATGCCTGTTTCTCCCGCTGAATGCAAAGCAGCCACCTGGAGCCTCTGACAGCTCTTACTTGCTGTTGTGCTGAGTGGAGCACATTAGCTAATGAGGAAGTGCTGCATTGCATTTGCAGGTACTGGGAGCTCAGAGCAACTCAGTTTTGAGCCCAAATGTGGTTGCCTGCTTGAAAGCTGGGGCTTCTCTGGTACATTGGGTCTCTGGAGCCACAGATCTTAGTTCTGCCTTCATAAGTTGGGAGTTTAGGTAAGACTCCCCAAATTGATGTGATAAGACTTCCACAAATGGCTTGTAAGATCTGACTGTTCCACACCACCCCCACAAAGAATCAGGCTGTGATCATTATTAAAGTTTCCCCAAAGAGAAAACTAGCCTGTTACATCAGCACGAGTCCCTGGACAGAAAAGAAATCAGGGTCTAGATGAAAGAAAATTGGACAGGAGATAGAAAATTATCGAACCAATTTCCCATCATCCTTTTAGCTTTCTCCTTTCCTCCTCCAGCATGGTTAGTTTGGACTTTATTTGTACTCAGAAGGGCCAAGAGCCATGCAACAAAGTCATAAAGAACGACCTCCTGTTATGTGCAATCAAACCACCTGCCCTCACCTCACAAGGCACTGCCAGACAGGTTTGGCTGCACGTTCCTCTGGAGCATCCTCAGCCTAGGAAGAGAAAGGAGGCGAGACATTGGCCAGGGAGGGGAGGATATTGATTCCATGTGTGAGGATCATAGGAATGCAGGTTGAGTTTGGTCATCAAAATACAATATTTGAGACCTCAGGGAAATTCTGGGGGCTCACGGATTTTAACTTTTTATTTTTGAAATAAATTCAGACTGTTATAAATGTTTGCTAAAATAGTGCAAAGAATTCCTGTAAACTCTCCCACTAGGTTCCCCAAAAGTTAACATTTTACCAGGTTCATTTTTATTTTTTCTGGACCATTTGAGAGTAAGTTAGAGACTAAATGCCCACTTATCCCTAAACATTTCAGTGTATATTTTTTTAAAATAAGGATATGCTCTTACATAACCCTAATAAAACCAGGAAAATCAGGAAATCAATGTTGATATAGTACTATTAACTAGTCTACAGGTCTTATTCAATTGCCCTACTATTTTTTCAATTGGCCTATTTTCCCTTATAGAAAAATTATTTCACAAGTCTTTTCTAGGATCCTTTTCAAGACCACATCTTGCATGTAGTTGTCATACCTCTTTAGTTTCCTTTAATGTGGAACAGTTCCTCAAGATTCATTTTCTTACATGGTCTTGGAATTTTGAGTAGTATAAGCCATTTGTTTTATGGAATGTCTCTCAATATGTGTGTGTCTGTTATTTCTTCATCATCAGATTCAGGGTTTAGAGCAGGAGAAGGGGGTTTGGCAGTAACAGATGATAACCCATAGAACGAAATAGGAATCCCTGAGCCTATACTGATATAAACAAATAAATAAATAAATAAATATGGGAGAAGGAAAAGCTCTCCCTTATGGTCAAGTGACAACCTCTAAGTGTAAAAGGAATTATGGAATTAAAAAAAAAAAACCATTTGGCAACCACTCAGTAACAATTGGTTCATGCAATAACCATGAATGAATATTAAAACTTGTGGATGAAAACTTGGAAAGTCTCAGAATATCTGCTCGCAAGATACTTATTAGTCACAGAAGAAAAAAAAATCACAACTTTACAGTAGACAATCACCTTAACCAAAACACCAAAGTTAGCATCACCAGCAATGGGGAAACAGATACTGTGTGCCTCCTGATATGATGCACTCAGAAGAACACAGCATCTCTTCTGTGAGAAGATGACTTTCTGCCCAAAAGGTATAAGAATTCTGAAGAATTATAGTTCTTCCCAACTGCATTCGCACACAACAGATTCTGAAATCCTTTTTACTTTACAGAACCTGCTTTGGTCATCTTCCCAGGACGAGTTCCTGACAACTGGGATGCAGAAGACAGCAAACGATCTGCCGGGATGGAAACTGCTCAATAGAGAGTTTGTGGACTGCATGATATTCCTTGAACATCAGGGATGGTACAGGGATACCAATAGTCTGGCCTCCAAGACAGCAGAGTAATAGGAGGAAGAGCAAATCTGTCTTCACCCACAGTATTAATGGGTAGTGGGCCAGAATGGAGAAGAGCTAGCGAGTCATGTGCTGCTACAGGTTACACCAGACTCCCATCCCTCTGTTACTCACTGCTGTTGTCAAAGCCAAACTTTATCTTGCTAATTTCTCACAGCTTGGCACCTAACAAATGACAAGACAGGACATCCAATGCCTTCCAGCTCTGTGGTCTGGCCTGTCTCTCCAGATCAGAATTAGAGTGATGCAGCAGATGACATCATATTCTCTCTGCATCCCTCTGCCACATCTTCATTCTTTTCCATTCTGTCTTTTCCCCCGATACCTTCTGACCCCAGGGATTTCTAATAGAACATAGTGATCAAGGAAATAAAGACTTGGTACATAAAGAGTCTCAGACAAGAAAAAAATTCATGATGTTATATGAAAGATACCAAACTGTAATGCTTACAAAGAGGCTATTTCAAGTAGAAAGATATAAATATCACTTATAACCATGCATCCTTTATGTTCATAAATAAGTCATCATAAAGAACAAGCCATTAGAAGACATTCTACTCCTTGTTTTTTTTTAAATAAAAAAGGCTATAATCTAAAATACAATTTTAAAATTACCTGTGCTAACCTGCAAGAGACATTGCTCACATAAATGAAATTCATAAATACCCTGATGTTATTTGAACCATGTATTTTCATCTTCTCCTCCTCTCTTAAGACATCAATAAGAATTTGATTTTTAAAAGCACATGCTGCTCTGACTATCAAAGACAATAACACAAGTGCAGCATCACTGGGATATGTTGGTTGTTTTAAAGTTCCGATCCTAATTTTACACTGAAGCATCCTCAGTTTTTCATTCAGCCCTGCTTGTAAACAGGAACCAGCATCAGCCAAACCAGGATCAGAGTAAGGATTGCATCTGTAGGTTACAGAAATATTTTCTTCTATGTGAAACTGTCACATGCAGGGGTTAAACTGGCAGCCATCTTTTAATGCGATGAATAATTTGGACTTCTTAGCCACACCCTTCTCTCGGTTAACCACAGGAGGAAGTGATAATACACCACCAGAAGCCCCAGAGTTCTGGCTTTATCTGCTACGTGGCAGGTGAGAAGGGAAGAGGTGTGATTGAGCACACTGGCTATTTACGCCTTGTCTTCAAAGCCCTCTTAGTCACATTTCCATCTTCATGCACTGGCTTCCGCCTTACAACTGAACAATAGGAAACCACCACTCCTAAACCACCACTCCTAATTTTTTTAAAAAACACGTCCTGTTTTTTAAGTCTCTGGGAACTTTCCACGAGGTATAGTGGAGGGTTTCATAAGGATTTAGCTCTTCCTTCGAACCTGCTTAGCCAGTAAACCAGATATTTTTTAAAACACAGCATACAGATTCCAAATGATCAAGGACCACAAAGTGTTGGGGATGTCAGGGAGGAGGCAAGGATGGGCTTGAATGATCACAAAGAGCCAACCCGGAAATGTGCAGTAGAATAGTTTGCTAATGGTGACATCTGAGTTTCATCTCCCGGAATTATTGTTTCTTATTACTACACTTCGGGTCAAGGGGAAAGGGTGTTAAGGGTAAAAAGAGGAAGGAGAAAATAAAGAGAAAAATTCACACCTCCATGGAAACATAAGCAGAAAAACTATAGACTCTTGTGTCTCTGCTTATTTTTTTAAGTATAGTGTTTTTAACAGACCAAAGAGAATCTCTATGAGTTAATATGTATGTGAATAATGTTTATAAAAGGGGTATAATGTGTTAGTCATTATGGAATATTGTATAAATAAACCTTACATATATAGCATACATAAAAAAATGATTGCTTAGGGCAGTGGACACTTAAGGACTTCCAAAATTTTTGTATCTTCATCCCAAAAAATAGAGCGTTCCAGGGCTGGCAACTTATTTCCTTAGTATATTCCACTGTAAAGCCAAGAGGTGTAGGGGCTTGTTTTCTGGTTTTGTAATTTGTAATAATCTGTATGGATTACTGTAATATGTCTGTTGCATGTGTGTTGGTGTTGTTTACCCATATGGAGTCATCAGGGATTTGTTCCACACTTTGTATCCTGGAAAACCAAAAGGAATTTTCATTTTTTTGAGACAGAGTCTCACTCTGTCGCCCAGGCTGGAGTGCAGTGGTGCCATCTTAGCTCACTGCAAGCTCTGACTCCCATATTCAAGCGATTCTCCTGCTTCAGCCTCCCGAGTAGCTGGGATTACAGGCGCATGCCACCTCGCCCTGCTAATTTTTTGTGTTTTTAGTAGAGATGGGGTTTCACCGTGTTAGCCAGGATGGTCTCGATCTCCAGACCTTGTGATCTGCCCACTCGACCTCCCAAAATACTGGGATTACAGGTGTGAGCCACCACGCCCGGTCTGGAATTTTCTAGTAAGAAGAAAAACATACAGAATGTGTCTTCACTGTTGGGTAACTCTCAAATTTGTAGCACTCTGAATTTTTTGTAAAACTGTGCTAATGGAATGCTTAATGTCAGAGTTATTGTCTCACTTCAATATCTAGTATTGGATAATGTTTCTCCTGGGAGCACAGATTTTTTTTTTCAAGTCCTTTTTTCCTGGACTTAACATGTTCTTCTAGAAGACATCAGAAGTCATGACCCTAAGCCACCTCCCTTCAGGACCACTTTCTACCATCGGTTTTCAAAAAACTATCCACATGTTAATTCTGTTTTATGTTCTGTGATTCTGTGGTCGACTCAGTGCTTCAGAGTCCAGAGATTGACTTGGGTTAGTGGCCCTAATGAAGTGCTAAATTTTCTCTTTACCGCCGAGACTGATCAGAAGAAGCAAAAGGGGAAAGGGGGCTAGAGGTCCACTCACACCTTTTACATCAGACGAGAGGAGAACTGTGCCAGAAATCTGTGCATGAAACACCATCTGCTCTTCATGCAGGGAGGGGTCAACCGTGTGAACGTGTAGAGATTACTCGAGCCTCCTTTGCCAAAAACGTGCATTGTTCCCAGCTGTAAGTGTGTGAAGCCTAATACGTCTTTTAGCATGAAACAATAAAGTGTTTATTTTCATTTAATAGGTTGTTCCTCCGGCCTGGATTTTCTTTTTTTTTTTTCTTTTTTTTTTTTTTTTCTTTTTTCAGTAGCTGGTTTGGAGAGGGCAACACTTTGTCATAAATTAAATGTCAACAGTGAGCATTTGATTTCTCCCAAAGGGGTTTAGCTCCTGGCAGCTGCTCTGGACATCCAAAAGGGAGGGTTAGGAGAGGAAATCACTTTGTCAAATGGGAATTGCTTAGTTCCAGTGGAGGTAGGTGGAGAAACAGGCAAGTAACACTTCCTTTTAAAGCTGAGCAGGCTGAATTCACTTCCGTGGAGCAAACTCTGGTTTGTACAACCATGAGGGCCCTCTTGGCTGGAAGTCTTCTCTGCCTGATGAGTGCAAAGGTTAGGTGCACAGCCTCGAGTGCCTGATTTCCTGTGTTGCCAGCCGTTTAGCCTTGGGTAAGTTACTTAACCTCTCTGTGGTTCAGATCCCTTTTCTAGAAAATGGAGATATAATGGCATCTTTCTGAGGGATGTTAAGGATAAATTTCTTAAAACACGTAGAGTGATTTGAACAGTGCCTGGCACATATAAGTGCTTACTAATATTAGTATCTTACCACCTTCACAATGTTTACCATATCCATCTACCACCTGTGTTATTATTTACTTAAAATTCTTATTTTAATTGATTCAATTTTCTTTTTTGAGGTGGGGGCAACTTCATCTCTAGTATCAACTTTCATCTAGAATTTAATTTAAAGGAAAACTATATGTTCCAATGGTAAATTAGTATAATTTGGCTGGGTGCAGTGGCTTACGCCTGTAATCCCAGCACTTTTGGAGGCCAAGGCAGGTGGATGGCTTGAGCCCAGAAGTTCAAGACCAGCCTAGGCAACATGGTAAAACCCCATCTGTACTAAAAACGCAAAACTTAGCCAGGCGTGGGGGCACATGCCTATAATCCCAGCTACTCTGAGGCACAAGAATCACTTGAACCCAGGAGGTGGAGGTTGCAGTGAGCCAAGATCATGCCACTGTACTACAGCCTGGGTGACAGAGCAAGATTCAGTCTCAAAGGAAATAAAAAAAGAAGGAAAATTAGTATAATTTGCCACAAATACAAAGTAGCCATAAAACAGTGATCACACATATTTACTGAGTCCATCCTACCTGCCAGGCAGTGTGCTAAATGTCTTGCTTTACAATCTTCATGCCCTACGAGGTCAGTACTATCACCATCCCACTTCCCGGATAAGGAAACTGAAACAGAGAGAGGTTAGCAAGTTTGCCTATGGTTGTATAATTAGTAAATAGAGGAGGCGTTTCAGGCTGCAGAACCCAGGTTCTTCGGCACTGTTTGGTGCTGCTGCCCTAACAAAAACATCTACCAAACATGGTAGATGGTCGCTTCCTAGGGCTGCTAAAATAAGTGATCACCAACTGGGTAGCTTAAAACAACAAAAACTTATTCTGTCTCGGTCTGGAGGCTAGAAATCCAGTATCAAGATGTTGGCAGGGCCATGCTCCCTCCAAAATCTCTGAGGGAGGATTTTCCCTTGCCTCTTCCAACCTCTGGTAGCCCCAGGCATTCCTGGGCTTGTGGCAGCAACACTCCCATCTCTGCCTTTGTCTTCACATACGTGTCTTCCCTCTGTGTCTCTATCTTTGTGTCTTTTCCCCTCTTCTTGTAAGGACACCAGTCATACTGGATTAGGACCCACCCTAATGATCTCATTTTAAACTAGTTACAATGGCAAATACCCTATTTCCAGATAAAATCGTATTCACAGTTACCAGGGGTTAAGACTTCAACATATCTTTTGGTGGAGGAACGGGAGGTGGGGAACACAATTCCACCCACAGCTGTTGCTACCTGAGGTTTTGAACCTGGGGCCTGAAGAAGATTCGTTAAGTGTTACAGAGGTGTTCAAGATGGGCACCAACCTGAGACTCTCTCCTTGAAACAATCAGACCTGAAGAGTTGGGACAAGGGAAAGACAATGGCTGATGTGTTTCAGTGACATTTCCAGCCAGTCCAGATGCTAACTAAAGTTAACCACCTCCTGCCCCATCCCTGATACTCTGAGGAAGGTGGCTTGACATAAGAAAGCCACATAACAACTCTTCCAGCTTCTCAGACATCTCTCATGAAAGGATGGCAGTTGGCCGGGTGCGGTGGCTCAAGCCTGTAATCCCAGCATTTTGGGAGGCTGAGACGGGCGGATCACGAGGTCAGGAGATCGAGACCATCCTGGCTAACATGGTGAAACCCTGTCTCTACTAAAAAACACAAAAAACTAGCCGGGTGAGGTAGCGGGCGCCTGTAGTCCCAGCTACTCGGGAGGCTGAGGCAGGAGAATGGCATAAACCTGGGAGGCGGAGCTTGCAGTGAGCTGAGATCCGGTCACTGCACTCCAGCCTGGGCGACAAAGTGAGACTCCATCTCAAAAAAAAAAAAAAAAAAGAAAGGATGGCAGTAGAAATCTGGAGGGGAAAATGCAAGCTTCCAAAACTCCAGCAGGAAAGGGGAGGCACAAAACTCACCCCTAGGCTGGGCGCAATGGCTCACGTCTGTAATCCCAGCACTTTGAGAGACCGAGGAGGGTGGATCACCTGAAGTCAGGAGTTCAAGTCCAGCCTGGCCAACATGTTGAAACCCCGTCTCTACTTAAAATGCAAAAATTAGCCAGGTGTGTTGGTGCATGCCTGTAATCCCAGCTACTCAGGAAGCTGAGACAGGAGAATCGCTTGAAGGCGAGATGGTGCCACTGCACTCCAGCCTGGGTGACAGAGCCAAGACTCTGTCTCAGAAAATAAACAAACAAACAAACAAGAAAACTCACCTCTAGATCTGCTTTATATGGCTGTACTGAAATAGCAAATTCAGACAAATGATAAAGTCATCAACAGGGACATGTGTAGAGAAAGAAGAACAGTAGAGACAATAGGGGGGAAATCATTTATTTTTATACCATTTCAGTAAAAACTTAGGAAAAAGCAGTTGTTCTACTCAGAGGTTTGAAAGGAGGGTGTTGGGGAGTAAGGAAGAAGAGTTATCTCGCTCTGTCAAACCAGGGTGTCCTTAGTCATTGGGACTGCACAGATTTCATAGACTTGGGAGGTCCTCATCTTGAGTTCGCGGGCCACCTGGCAGATGGAAAAAGGCCAACAGCAGTGCACCGCCAGCCAGTCTTCACACAGCGTGCCCTAGGGCAAGACCAGAGTCTGTTCTGTTGTAGTCACACAGGCTCATTTTCTTCCCCAGGGACCTGTACAGTATTACCTCCTGGCCCTTCAACCACGACTTCAAAGGTTCACCAACATCCTTAAGCCAATGCCCAGGGACACTAAGTTGTATAAGTGCCAAGCAGCTGAATTGCTAATCAATACCTGCGATTCAGAGCCCTGCCCTTAGGACCTCTGATATGGGCCTTTATAATTGAAACCACTGATTTCTCTATCAACTTCTTGGTTCTTTCTCTTAGGACCTAATATGTATAATTATTTCTTTCTTTGGAGGAGGTAATAAGTGCACTGGCCTAAAATTTCAGTGTAAGAAGGGACAGGAAGTAAAAAATAAGTCCCTCTCTCCAGCTGTCCCCAGCCATCCAGTTGCCTGCCTGGAAGTAATCGTTGTTACCAGTGTCTTGTAACCACTTCCAGATAAATTCTATGTCTACAGAAACATACACATATAAAGTCTTTTTAAATAGTTCCATACTTCTGTGCTTTACTTTTTTTTTTCCACTTAAAAATGTATCAGTCTGGGCCAGGCATGGTGGTTCACACCTGTAATCCCAGCACTTTGGGAGGCCAAAGGGGGCGGATCACTTGAGACTTTGAGAACAGCCTGGCCAACGTGGCAAAACCCCATCTCTACTAAAATAATATGGTATTTTAATTAACTTATACTTCCTGGTAAAGAATAAAATTTTTAAATGTATTTCCTTTCTCAAAGTTTCCCACTAAGGCATGGTATGTTTCGACATCCTCACCCACCCTTTTTTTTATTTGAACAATCACAGGTTTGGAAGGCATCTAGGTTTTCATACAGATTCAGGTTCACTTATACCTTCAGACACACTTACCTGTATTTTATGTCTCTCTCTGGTGCCAATTCTCAATGCAAAGGTGGACCCAGGTAACAACGGCCAACAAAGACACTCTCCATAATGCCTGGCGATGTCACACTCAAGACACATAGGACAGAATAGACCACAGAAACCTGTCAATAACCACATCCAAAAAAGCCAAGGTTCTCAGGTTTCTTGGAGCAACTTCACATCTCAAAGAATATTTAAAACTTTATGCCACCAGTTTAATGCTGCACTGTCTCCCTACTATCAGACACTGAGAATAAATAACCAATTCCCAAAACTCATTGTATGAAAACTGCCATAACTGAGCCACATCAAAATTGCCTTCTTTTGTTAAACCTGATACAATTCTGTTAGCATTGACTATGGTAATTGTTTTGTTCCTGTTAAGAGAAAAAGCATCAAATAATTTTTTTACAGTTGAATCATAACTATTGCTTCCATTATGTTCATCTACCTAATTTCAATATTTAAAATAAACATGGTATACTCTTGAATAACAGACATCTATTTCTACAAGTGTAATTGAAAGGTCTTTTATAGTACACTGACTCTGCCTCCTATTCTTATCAGGGCTTTATTCTATTTCTCAGACCAAGTTATTCAAATTTATGTTAGTGTCTTGGAGTCACTGACATCTGCCAGTTACAATCTGCAAACTATTAGGGGCTTGTTTCCTTGAACATCGACCGGAAACAATTTGTCATTTATTAGTTCACTCATCTTTACTGATATTGTTTTCTACACATTCTGCATGAACCTTCCAATGCAGGGGTTCTATTCTAAATATGTTTTGGGTCACAGACCATTTTGAGAGTACAATGATAGCTATGAACTCAGTCCGCAAGGGAAAAGAAAACTACACGCACACAGACATGCAAAATTGTGCATTCAATTTCACGGAGTTCATGGATTCATTGAAAATTATTAACA